CATCTACTTCTAATAAAGGCAACCAACTACTCGGCATCTACGACAGGAACATTCGAGTGGGGATAAAAACGTACACTTTCGACAAAGGTAGACGGCTTAACGCCAGGTTTTCTACCGCCTGTTCTAGGAACATTTTTTGACAATGTTTTTATTGTGTCGTGCTTTTTAGCTGCCCTCCAGAGTGTTCTGCCACCCTCAGAGATTCCCCTGTTTGTCAGTTTCAATACAGAAACACGGAAGATCCATTTACAGAAACTGACTGATCTTGTTTCTGGCATTCGAATTTACAACTTCAGCATTGACCAAGGAGGTGACGGTGTAGATGATCGTAAGTTTGTAAAATGAAGATGTTCCTCAGAATGCCAACGCTCCGCCCGCCTGCAATATTTTAATTTCTTTCTTATCCCTCTAGTATTGACGAGTAAACTTTGGTTTTTCAAGGATAGCATGAAATAAATTTGCCCCAACTGACGTGCTGTTTCATGCCAGAAAGGTCTTCGATTAGCGAAAATCCCAAGGGAACTATAGCATATCGCCTTTGCTAGAGGGAATTAGATTCGGTGACAATCTTGTTTTGGGGCTCCATACACTTACTTCGCATAACTGTCTACCTACTTCATAGTAGTAAGCATTTTTTTCTCACCCCAAAGGTAGAACACAGTCCATCCTCATTGCATTGCTCACACAAAAATCTTAAGCGTCCTGTGGTTACCTTTCGTTTTATTAGTTTTGGTCTTAGCTTCCTCATCAGGCGTTTGGCTTCTGTAGCATCGCAATTAGCCAGAATATTCTCGCTTGCAAAAAGTTCCTGGAAAAATATTTCCCTAAGAACAAAACATACCTGACCTGGTAATGGGTCCAAATCCTTTGGTTAGACGATAAGTATTTACTACATCTAATACAAATATCCGAGGAATTAGAATATTTGAGGAGGGAACCTTATGGGAATTAGTTGTGTGTGAAGGTATTCAGGACCCGTCTAATTACAGGTCTTGATCCCATTCTCGCCCAAAATTCAGCACTTTCTCCAGAGTCACGATCTGTGCGGCAATGCTTCACCAAAATTGATAAACCTCTTGGAAACAATCTGAGACATACAGCAGTCTTGGTTACTGCAGAAGGGTTTTTTTATACTCTAAGTTGGCGTCTACGAAGGACGGTCAGAATTCCAGTTCTAATCTTACACTGATTGAGTCAAACTCGGTAGTTATGGGAATTAACGACCGAATAGATGAGGTCTGTGACACATTTAAACTCTTTTCAATCGCTCAGAACTTCCTATGTTAATATCCAGAGATAGAATATACCTTAAACTATTCTTCCAAAACACTTTAATATTAGTTCAAAGAAAAGGGAAGTAAGTCCGTCACCCTCACCGTGTGCAGACATCTCATTGCATAAGGCCTATGG